TTCCCTTGGCAACCACTTGAAGATTTAAAGCACGATTTTTCAAGTCATCACTTCAAGTTTGACCTGAGAGTTGCATCATAGCTTACCCTCTTCTTTGCAGTGTAATTCCTGAAAGAAGAGATGGTAGATGGCCTTCTACTCTCCACCCACAACAGGACCACGTGTGAACACACAGCACATTTGTAATGCATTTGGGTTTTTTAAAATTAAGTCATACATACGTCCATGTATTTGAAAATAATAATATTGCATTTGTATCAGCTTTTCTCTTTAAATGCCTTTCATGTTTCTCTTTCAAAGTCTCTCTCCCCTCCGTCCTGTGGGGTCTCCTCCCTGCAGGGTGACCACCCCTTTAGTCTGACCCCTAATCCCTGCAGCCCCCAACCCAGGACGAACCTGATTTCAGGTGATGGGCAGGGAGAGGCTCAGAACTGGTGGCCCCGGTTTCTCCAGGGAAGAGGTCAGCCCCTGGGCTGGACGCCCACCCACCAAGCTCTGTGTCCTCTGTTGCTGGCACCGGGCACCTCGGTGGCTGCTGAGTGGACATGGCTGAGCAGGCACAGCCGGGTGGTTCTACCGTCTACACCTGCTCACCCCTCACCAGCCCTGGCTGTTCAGGTGAAGAGAAGCAGCAGGGGTCATCACCCAGAGCGCCCGAGGGCTGTGGGCACTTCCCTTCCTTGGCAGAGTGGGAACCTTTGTTTGGAACTCTCTCCCCAGGCTTCGTCAGCTTCACTGGCTGCAAAGAGTGAACTGTGTAGAAGCAAAATCTGGGAGGAACGGCAGTACCCCAGGGACCGTGGCTCAGTAGCTGAGCATTGTCCTATGAACCAGGGAGTCCCGCTTCAGTTCGCGGTTTAGGACACATGCCCTGGCGGCAGGCTTGATCCCCAGTGCAGGGCGTGCAGGAGGCAGCCGATCAGTGATTCTCTCTCTCCCTCTCCTTTCCTCTCTGAAATAAATAAAAATGCCGGCGGAAATGCCACCAGCGTCGCGGTCTCGGCCAGCCGCTGGGCCCTGCACGGCCTGTGTGCCCTTGGTGCCCGAGACGCTACACTTTGGGGTTTTGAAGCGGGTCAGTGCCCCTGTGTTTGTAAACAGTCACTCTTCCCGTCCAGGGGTGCCATGCGCCCCACTTTAGGGACCTGGCGGTAAGTCGGCCGTCGCCGTCCTCTGAGCCTCCTCCTCCTCTGCCAGCAACTCCTTTCCCGGGGCCGACTGTGCCTTGCAGTTTGGTGGTTTCTCCCAGTGGTTCTGCGTTTGCTTCATCTTGTGAAGTGAGAATGTGGCAGCCAGGGGGGCTGGGTCGGCACCAGGGGGGCTGGGTCGGCACCAGGGGGGCTGGGTCGGCACCAGGGGGGCTGGGTCGGCACCAGGGGGGCTGGGTCGGCACCAGGGGGGCTGGGTCGGCACCAGGGGGGCTGGGTTGGCACCAGGGGGGCTGGGTCGGCACCAGGGGGGCTGGGTCGGCACCAGGGGGGCTGGGTTGGCACCAGGGGCCGCAGGCTGACCAGCCGAAGTTAGGCACACACTCGACAGTGGAAGAGATTCTTTATTTAAGATGTTTTATTGATTTCAGAGAGGAAGGGGGAGGGAGTGAGAGAGAGAAACATCAATGATGAGAGAGAACAACGGATAGCTGCCTCCTGCACGCCCCACACTGGGAATCCAGCCCGCAACCTGGGCCTGTGCCCTGACCGGGAATTGAACTGTGACGTCCTGGTTTATAGGTCGACACCCAACCACTGAGCCACACAAGCTGGGCTAGAAATATACCTTATGCTTAGATATAACATACTTTACACATGTAATATACATGCATATATGCATGCGTATATATGTATAACTACATATATACATACAACTCGTTTTGTTTTTATTCTTTGATTAAAGGCAAGAACTTTTTGACGGTTTGTCACTGAAGAAGCAGGTTGTTTTGTCATTTTTAGTTCTGTTGATCTGCACAGAACGTGCAGCTGCTTCTGTGGTCCTTCAGACGGCATTGTTTGTGTGACACCGTGCTTCCCTTTCACAAACTGTGATCACGATCATGCCGTGTCTGAGAATTGGGCCTCGCGGCGTGAGTTTCCTCACGTGGACTTGGTTCCAGGCCTTCATCTGTCTTGAACGTACCTCACAGCTTAGAGTCCAGTATCCAGGCCCCGTTGGGGTCCGGCAGCCCTGCAGACGTGGGGTCTTCGTGATGGGGGACTCACGTGACTCGTGTTCTGAGACGCCGCGGGTGGGAGTGAGAGGCTGACCCGCTTCTGGAACCTGACGGGAGGGAGCCGGTCAGGGGCCCCGGCCTTGGGGGCGGCTGTGCTGTCAGGGGCCCCGGCCTTGGGGGCTGCGTCACTGCCCAGCCCCTGAGACTCTGTGCCTGGCTTCTAGATCTTTCCATGGATGCCCTGGTTTCTGGCCTGGAACCACGGCGAAGGGTCATCTCTTGGGAGACGTCCCATAGCTGCTGGCGGAGGACCGCACAGGCCTGACCCAGGGACAGTGAGCTCAGGCCACTCCGGGCTCCAGCTCTCGCAGCTAATAATTAACGGATCCCCCTCCCCCAGACGTGACTCAGCCGCCTGCTCATGGATTTGAATCATACGGTGACTCGTGACAGGACTGGCATTTTGTTTGATTAAAAATAAAAGCAAGAGCTAGTTTACAGAGGTAGCCATAAATGCAGCCAGGTCGTGAGGAGAGGGAGGCACCGATGAGAAAAACCAGGCGGAGAAACAAGCAGGGAACACACTCTCCTTTGCAGAAAGGAGCAGGGTGGCTGCTCCAGGAGTGGGTTCCCATCCAGGAGCGGGTTCCCATATGATGGACGCGTCAAATCCCTGTCCTGTCCCAGTCCCCGCGGGGCGAGGGGCGAGGGGCGGGCGCTGGGCTGGGCTGAAGCTCCCAGCCTATCCCGGGCCCCCTTCCTCCAGCTCTTCCCCCCCTCCAGCCCCTCCACCTGTTGCCCTTCCCATCCCGAAAGCCAGGCAGAGTCCGTTTCTGGGCAGGACATATGTACATGTATATTTTTTAGGTCAAATTTACATGATAGAAAAGAACCATTTTAAAGGGAACGGTTCACTGGCAGTACACTCAGTCTCGATGAATCCCCACTCTCTAATTCCGGAACATTCCCCTCGTCCCGTCCCTGGGAGCTGCCCGCCTTGCATCTGATATTTCAGTTCAGCATAAGATGCGTTCCTCAGCCGGGCCCGTGTGCTCAGTGGTTGAGCGTCGACCCATGTCCCTAGAGGTCACCAGTTCCATTCCTGGCCAGGGAGCGTGGAGGAGGCGGCCCGTCGATGATTCTCTCACCTATGTTTCTCTCTCTCTCTCTCATCAATAGAAACATTTAAGTAAAAAAGATACATTTCTCAAAAGTCAGGTTCTCAAAGACAAATATGTCCGTAAATGGCATTTAACCCACATTTACACCGTAATCAAACCCTCTTCGGCGATGGTGCCCTGTGGCCGCTGCCTCGCTAAAATAGAAGCGAGCAGGTGGTGGAGGGATGGAAATAGATGCCTAAATTATTTATTCTTCCTGCGGAGCTAAAAGCGTATTGACCGGCTGGGCATTTGGGGTTTCCTTTTTTTATTTTATTTTTTTTAAAGAAGGCTAAAATTATCTCTCTTCTTGTCTCTTATTCTGACTCAAACATTCTGACAGGCTTTGTTCTGGAAGCTTTCGTGTATTTTTATTTTATTTCTGATGGACAGAGTTCTTGGTGAATGAGTTGAGGACCGCAGATGTGAGTTATATTTTTTGATCCTGGCACTGACACGCCTTTCAAAAATGCCAGGTCCTGCCGGCCGCGGTCGCTTAGGGGTTAGCGTCGTCCCACGCACAGAGGGTTGAGGGTTTGATTTGTGATCAAGGGCGCATACCTGGGTAGACTGAAGACACCTCAGACATCCAAAGACTCAAAAGCTACCTTCTACGCACCCTTCTCGGGGAAACCAAAGAAGGAATAAGCCAAGACATGGGATCCAGGAGAGAAGGGAGGGCCAGGACAGCCGCTCCCAGTGCAGGGGAAGCAGGACAGACAGCAGGACAGACGCTCTGCCGAGATGCCCAGGAAGGTGAGGCAAGGCCAGCACCACAAAGCCTCTGCCTTGCTGAGCAGCGGGTCCTGTTTGGGGAAGGGCTCTCCTTGCTCCCTCGTCGCCCACCAGGGCGCGTTCTGTCCACAGATGCGGAGACTCCTCTGTGCGCACAGGAGGGCTCTACCAGCAGGAACTGGGCTTCTGGCTGAATGGGGAGGAGGAGTTCTCCTTCTCGGAAATGATTATTGTGGGTTTTTTCTTCTGATCTTAGAAGAAATACATGCTCATTGAAGAAAACATGCTCTTGAAAACAGAGAAAGTTTCTTTTTTAAGTAAAAACTATCCAAATTCTGCAACCCAGAGACTTCCATGCGCGCGCGCACACACACCTGTGCTTGCAGAGCTGCGATAGTTTCCTATCTGATTTCACATTCTCCATAGTTTTTTTAAAAATATATTTCTTTATTGATTTCAGAGAGGAAGGGAGAAGGAGAGAGAGCTAGAAACATCAATGATGAGAGAGAATCATTGATCGGCTGCCTCCTGCACACCCTCTACTGAGGATCGAGCCCGCAACCCCGGCATGTGCCCTTGACCGGGATCGAACCTGGGACCCTTCAGTCCCCAGGCTGACGCTCTATCCACTGCGCCAAGCCGGCCAGGGCTCCATAGTTTTACTTTACATCCTCAGTGTGATAATTTGAGGGAAACCGTCTCAGTCTTTTAGCCCCTTGGGTGAGAGGAGGGGGCGCGGATGGGCAGGGGTGCGGGGGAGAGGGCCGAGCCCTCCGGGGAGACCCACCAGCAGGGTCCAGCCCCCCAGCATCTGCACGGAGAGAGGGTGAGAGTCCTGTCTCCCCAGCGTGAGAGTGAGGCCCCCACGCCCTGTGGGGGAGGGTAACCGTGGGGACGCTGCAGCCAGCTCCCCTGAAGCCGCCCACCCTCTTCCACAGGCATCGACTACAAGACCACCACCATCCTGCTGGACGGGCGGCGGGTGAAGCTGCAGCTCTGGTGAGTCTGGCGCCCGCCTGGACCTGAGCAGGCCCGGCCCTCAGCACTCGGCCTGCACCTGGGGAAGGTCCTCTCCCCTCCCGCCCGGCCCAGGGCTCTGAAGGAGGGGCTGACCCCTTGTCTGGGCCCGAAGCTTTGACCCTGGTCCAGGGGAGGGGAGCCCTGGGCCTTGCGGGCCCTGCTGTCTGCCAGGAATCTGTGGCCCAAACCTCCCCGGGGCTCAGAAGGCCTCATAGCAGCGGCTCCAAGTTTTCTTCTGAATGTCCCCCACCTTAACCGCCGTCAAACAGGCCCTCGGCTCCCAGTCCTGTTTCTGGTTTGAGTGGTCCCTCCACGCCCCCCACCCAAGGCTCCAGGGGACCCTGGAGTCATCCTGGACACCCACGCGGGAGCCCCCCATCCCCAGCAGGGCACAGGCGGCCAGGGGAACTGTCCACACATTACGGCCGTTCTGGCCGAGGCAGGAACCATGATGGCCCTGCAGGCCCCAGGGCAGAGCTGGGCGTCGGTCCCTCAGGGTCCCTCTCCTTGCCCACAGACCTTCTAGCAGCCCCGCCTGCGGGCAAGGCCTGAGCGCCTGAGGCTCTGCTGGGGCTGATGGGGGTTCTGATGATTGGCTGCTCCCAGCCGCTGGCCTCTCAGAGCCCCGCCGGCCCTGCTCCCCTGAGTCTGGGGGAAGGTCACCTGTGGGTCCGACTTTATATGATTGACTCAGAGTTAGTGGAAGCCAAGGGATCCCCCCAAATCCTTCGACCTACACCCCCCCCCCCATGAGACTCACATCCCTCACAACACAGCTTTATCTCCAGATTCCACGTCATTTTAGAAGCTTACATCAGATTTATTTAAATGTCAGAATTAGGGTGTTGAAACCTGTCCCCAATTTTTCTAGTTTGACTTGCAGAATGACAACTAGAAAAGAGCATAAGCCCAGGACATCCCGAAATCCAGGTCCCTCCAGGGGACGAGGTGACCGTTCGTTGGGGTCTCGGACGTTCAGTGGCACGGCCACCGGCTGATGAGGGTCCCAAGTTCGGTGCCGCCTGGTCAGGAAGCAGCAGCAATGCCTCACCCTGCCCCCAACCCCTTTTCCTTCCAGGGACACGTCCGGGCAGGGGAGATTCTGTACCATCTTCCGCTCCTACTCGCGGGGCGCACAGGTAACCCCCTGAGCGGGAGGTCGCGCTGACATGTGGGATGCCCTTTCATGTTGAGCTCAGTGTGTACACTGAGGCCTGAGTCTGTGGAGGGTTTGGTGGCTCACAAGCCTTTGTTGGCGCCAGGGCTGTACGTGTGCACGTGCGTGTGTGCATTGTTCTATGCATGTGTGTGTTCATGCACATGTGTGAGGCTGTCTATACATGCACAGGCGTATTCATGTTGCATACCTGTGTTTGCATGCATGTGTGTTGTTGTACATATGTGTGTTTGTACACACACTGCATGCAGGAGAGCTGTGTGTGTGTGCACATGCATGCCTGTACATGTGCACGCCTGTGTTGGTGTAAATGTCCCTGTGTGTGCATGGCTGTGCATGTGCATGTGTGTGCACCTGTGTTAATGGTCCTGTGTGTGTCTGTCCTCCTGAGCGGGTGAGGCCCGGGCCCCCCACGCCTGTGTCCCTGGAGCAGCTTGTGAACGTGGGGAATTTCGTTCTAGTTCCCAGCCCACCTGATGTCTGAGGGCTCAGCAATGAGCTAGTGAAATAGTGGAAATAACCACATAACTGCTACACCTGATGGATAAATCCAGACAAGCTGTGTCAGACAAGCATGATGGGTAGTGGCTGTTGTGAGTCTGTTACTGTGTGGCCCTCACGCGGCCGTGCAGCCCGGAGCTGTGCCTGCGGTGAGGTCAGCCGGTGCCTCTCCCCAGGGGGTGATCCTGGTCTACGACATTGCGAACCGCTGGTCCTTCGATGGCATCCACCGCTGGATTAAGGAGATCGATGAGGTGTGCCTCCCCGTGGGCGCGAGGGTGTCGGGCTGGGGACGGGCGTGTGGGCCAGGGCACCAGGCTTCAGCCCCAGGGCGGATGTGTCACCTCCCAGCCCAGGAGCCGCCCTGATGCAAGAACCGGCAAGCTCCGGAGCCCGGGCCCTGCACGTGGCCTGGTGGGTTCACGGGCAGCGACCGGGCTGCTGCCTGCTGGCACCCTGACCAGCCCACGGCCCCTGGGGACATGAAGTGGCGGGGCCACACCCACTGTCTTAGTTTCCTGCTGCTGCTCTAACAGACCCTAAACCAGGCGGCTTAGAGCTGCACATTTGTTTTCTCACATTTGGAAGCCAGAAGTCCAAGAGGAAGGTGTGGGCAGGGCCGCGCTCTCTCCTAAAGCCCCGGGGGAGGCTCCTGTCTGTCTCTTCCCGCTTCTGTGGCTGCCGGCAGCCCGGGCGCTCCTGGGCCTTGAGAGCATCCCTGTCTCCACTCTATG